CAGTTTCAGAGAGGGTTAGGTTTGATACACAGCTTGACGGTAAATTGCCAGATATAATCCAGCCGAGATGTGTGTTCAACAAAATGGGGTAGTTATTATCGAGCTTATACATACCTGGTATTAATAAATTATAAAAAAGATCGGCTCCAATGAGAATATCTATTTCCATAGGAATGTGAAATTTGGGATCAGCCATTTCAGGAATAATGTGTTCAGGGATATTTAATTTAGAGAGAATAATTGGATTTTGTGGTAGTTTGTATGTGATGTTGTTGAATATTGCACATGCAAGTGAAAAGGTTTTGTTGTGTTCTATCTTAGAAAATATAGAAATATCAACCATTTCATTAGACACAACACTATTTTGTGCAATTCCTGTCACATTTAAAACTTTTGTATACGGAATGTATCCCAACCGGTCTACTAATCTTTTCGTTATAAACGAGGTTTGACTACCACTATCCAACAGAGCCCTAATAATAATAGACTTTCTGTTCCTTGAAAATAACTGGATTTGAGCAGTTGCTAGTAGTACCTCATTTTTTTTAGTGCTAATGCCACTTAAATTTTGGACTGCATTATGAGTTGTGTTAGAAATATGTGAATATTGAGTATTTTGAGTGTCATGAGATTGGGATGTGAAGTGATTAACTTGAGAGTGAGGGTGAGATTGTGTATGAGTGTATCTAGGATTAGTTGAGTGTGTTTGTGAGTTTTGCATTTGTAGATTATCATTATCTTGGCTTGAGCCTTGTACCGTTCTAGAGATATTTCTGTTTTCAAATCGAGAATCATTGCTATTCATATTATTTTGTGCCAAATTATTTGATCTATGCATTAACGTGTGATGTTTTTTCTGACAAATTTGACATTTTGAGTTTGAAATACAATTGCCAGTCAAGTGCTTGCTTCCTAAACAATTATAACATAATCTTTTTGCTTTTACAAATTGTTCTCTATCAGAGGGTTGCGAATTTAAAAAAATTTTACATGAGTATATACGGTGTCCGGGTAAATTACAAAATAGACAATTTATTGAGTTTTTATTGTCATTATTTGACTGTGTGTGAAAAGAGATTTTATTTTCATTTTTTCTATACGGGTGGTTATTAGTCGAGTTACTAGTTGAGGGAAAGCTTGAGATATTTTCGAGAACCATGCACCTTTTGTCTAAAAAATCTAAAAATTTTTGTAAACTTGGTAATTCTTTATAGTTTCTCTCCTGCTCAAACGCACGTTTTGTATTGAAATCTAACTTTCTTTCAACAAGATAAATTAAAGTATATTCAAAAATTTCTTGAATTGTGATATTTACTTTTTTCAAACATTCCAGATTTCTTTTAATTGTGACAGCAAACTCTCTCAACGCTGCGGACGTACATTTATTTATTGGAGAAATATCTATAATACTATTTAAATAATTATTTACAACACAAGTTATATTTTCATATCTAGCTCTTAAAATATCAAGTGCAACTGCAAAATTGTCATTTGTTAATTGTAAGGATTCAATTAGCTTCAATGCTTCACCCTTGACCGTGCTTCGTAAATACCATAATCGTTTGACATCACTGAGATTATGATTGTCAATAACGAGTGCTGTGAACATTTCAAAATAGGGCTGCCAGTTTAAAATCTGGCTATCGAATGGGGGTATATCAATTTCAGGTAAATTTAACCCATTCACGACCAAATTTTGTCCTGGAGAAGTTGTACTAGAGCTGAGTACGTTTTGAACAATAGTTGGTGGTGGCGGTGGCAAAAACATTAGAGAAGTATTTTTTATAATTTTGATGCATTTGTAATATTTATTTTCAATTTCTTCGCGATTTTCCCGATCAGTGTCATTCAAGTCTTCGATTTCATCTTGAGCATTACAATATTTTTCAAAACTCATTTGCAAGGATTTTTCTCGCGCTTGAATCTCTGCGACGTCTTCCAGTGCAAAATCGTCTTTATTTGCTATCAGCCAATTAAATGAACGTGTAATTGCACTTTTCGCGGCCTTTCGGTCTTTTCTGTGCTTCTTCAACTCGGAGCTTAACTCATCTCGAGACTTATCCATTTTTGAAATAAGCACTAGCGATTTCGAGAGAAAAAGTGGAAAAAAAAATTGAAATAATCAAATCTTCCGTGAAAGTCCGGCTTTTTTGACACTTTTAGAGGTTATACTGCAATTTTTTCACTAGCAATAATTTTAATTCAAATTGTCTATGAAATTGTCTATGCAATTACGCTATTTTCAAGTGTAAACATAGTCCGAATAATTGCACAAATGTAAATATAGTCCTAGATAAAATGGGCGCAATTTCAAATGTAAATATAGTCCGAAATATACAAATATAGTCCTAATATTGCGTCGTTTTCAAGTAAATAAATTGGAACAAACTCACCAATCCTCTTTTCTTTATATCCGGCTCGAAGGACCAAAATTGAGGGAGTAAGATAATTAATTCCAGTTCTTATCCCTCACTTATTGAGGTTACCTAATAGTTATTATTGAAGTCCTTCGATAAAGTGGCTGTAATCCATAGTTCACTGTACACTAGTTAGAGGAAAAGAAAAAGAGAGAAGGTGAACACCGTTTTGATTGGTTATTTTCTTGTTTATTATTACCACTACACAAAATGTCACATGGAGCTTTTTACAAAGTCAAACTTTTGAACTAATTCTAATAATATTTTACAACAACATTCTTATGTCCCAGCGTGAAGAGAGTTTTTTTATTATTGATTTTTTTTAAATAAAAAGTGAAATTTGCGACCGAGTACCGAGATTTATTTATTGTGCGTGTGTGTGCTCTACGTAAAATTCTGCCCGACTGGCCTACATTCTTCTTCCACCCCAATTACAAGGTCGATTTTGATTGGCTGCACCATGCAATTTGATTGGTTGAAACCCTGCAACCTTGGCTATTTTTAGAACGGGTTGAAGGAGCTCGAGACAAGATAACGCTTTTTTTAGACTTGACCTTCAATGACTTTTGTAAATATTGTGTATAAAAATGTGTCTTAAAATACAAATTATAAGGGAAAATATTTTGTTATAAGGGAAAATATTTCTGATTGACTTTTTGCGACTGGTTTCGCAACAGATATATTTAAAGTAAATTCCATATGTATTGAATGTAAACTAGTAACCAATTCTTACAATAATGGAAAACTAGTTCATATAATCCATATGTTTTATCCTACAAGCCCACCTGGACACAAAATTGTGGAAAAGCCTACTAATGTAATTTATTTACCAATAAGCATGCGCTATATTAATGAAATAACACTTAAAATAACCGATCAAGATGGAAATTTAATCAATTTTCGAAACGAGTTGATTACCATACGTCTACATTTGAAGAAGCTCTAGAAAAATAAAAATGGTTTTTCTCTATAACCATGATACTTTTAATTTACCCATTGATCAATCCTATTATAAAAGTGACATACACAGTAACAAAAATTTCAGTTCTAAGCGAATAACAAAACGATTAACATCAAGTAATAAAAAATTTCTTAAATTACTAGGATTTAAAGTGAGAAAATAATCAACAAAATTCCTTTCAAAAACAATAAAATAAAACAATTTTGGCAAGACTTCAAGTTACGCATAAACATTAAGTCAATATTTTCATTATTTATAAATTGCAAGTGTAAATATTTTCAAGCACGAAAATGAGCTACAATGTTCTAAAAGTTGGAGAACACGTTATGCAGGATGAATCGATAATAAGCTATCAATATCACACACATCAACCATATTCATCTACTACTTTCAATCACAATGATGAAATTAGAATACCAATTCAGACACAAGATTTGTATACTTTGCCAAGTCAAAGTTACCTATATATTGAAGGTACATTACTTAAAGAAGATAATACACCCAGTAAAGCTGTACATTTTGTAAATAATGGAATTTTACATCTTTTTGATGAAATTAGATATGAATTGGGAGGCATTGTTGTTGATCGGATTAGAAATTCTGGTATAACATCTACTATGAAGGGATATTTATCCTTTACACCATTACAAAACAATCTACTACAAAATTCAGGTTGGAGTGCAGATACAAATCCTCCAATACTTGATAGTACTGGAAATTTCAATGTTTGCATTCGACTTGAAATGTTAATGGGATTTGGTGAGGATTTCACTAAAATTATAATGAATACCCGTCAAGAGCTTGTATTAGTTAGAAGCAACTCTGATTTAAATGCATTTCAGTCAGATCAAAAAGAAACTTATAAACTTAAACTTAACAAAGTGTTATGGAAGATGCCTCATATTACTGTGAGCGATTATCAGAAGTTAAAATTATTTAAACAATTTGAGAGCAACAAAGATTTAACGATTGCATTCAGAAAATGGGAACTGCATGAACATCCACAGCTATAACAAAGTAAAGTTCACACGTGGGCAGTTAAATCATCAAGTCAATTAGAAAAACCACGGTTTATTATCATTGGTTTTCAAACAGACCTGAAAAATAAACAAGAAAAAAATATAAGCACGTTCAATCATTGCAACTTAGTTAACCTAAAGGTGTACTTAAATTCTGAAATGTTTCCTTATGACAACTTCAATTTAGATTTTTATAATAACAAGTTTTCCATTCTTTATGATATGTATGCACAATTCCAAAAAACATACTATTATAGAAATTATTGTCAACCTTGTTTGAATCCTATACATTTTAAAATTCAAGCTCCTCTAGTAGTTATTGATTGTTCACAACAGAACGAAGATCTTCTGAAAGGTGGTGCCGTCGACATTCGTATAGAGTTTGAAACAGAAAAAGCAATTCCTGCCAATACTGCTGCTTATTGTTTAATTTTACATGATCAAGTAGTGAAGTATAATCCTCTTACAAGTACAGTTAAAGTATTATAAATAGAGAATCTTCCATGCGCAATTTGGAAAATGCATCCTCCTGATCCTATAAATTCCAAGACTCAAACTCCCCTCTAGTAGTTTTTGACTATTCACTGCAGAACGAGAACCATCTAAAAGTTGATACAGTTGAGTGTTTGTACGTAACCAGAGAGTAAATCAATCCAAAAAGAAAAATGTTTATTATTGATGTGCAAGGATTTCGATACAAAACCAGCCCTTTCATCTGCAAAGAAATTGCCATCATTAATATCGAGAATGAAGATGTCCATCATCGAATGTTTGATTGCCCTATGCCCCTCAACTTGTTAGAGCATGGTTTCCAGAATCAAGTTTTGGACCACAAAAAATGTACATGGTTTAAGTTGGGACAATAATTGTAGTGCGGATGTATCTAATTTAAGTGAAGAGTCTTTGTGTTTGTATTTAAAAGTTATCGTCCAAGATAGTGTCATTTATGTTTTTGGTATACAGAAAAAAAAATGGTTAGAAAAATTTATTGTTAACACAATTGTTGATTTGAATGAACTTGGTTGCATCAATTTAAATGGGCTGAAATTAATATATACGAAACTGAACAAAAAAAATAATTATCATTGTCAGAAACATATATTCAATAATTTGAGATGTGCGAGAGAAAATGTGTTTTATTTGAAAAGATGGTTTTTACATAGAGTATTGTAACTTTTTTTAGATGTTTTCGAAAATTGTAGGTATATGAATAAAATATTGAAGCAAATTTTTACTTGTGTTTTATTTATTTGATATATCATTTAAATAAATAACATTTTATGTTAATTAATCAAAAATTCATCATCTTCAAAAACAAAAACATTGTTAGATAGCTTCTTGGATGATGACGACGATGATGATGATGACTGATGTGGTTTCGGTTCTGAAGAGGAGGCTGCTGTAGTTGTCAACGATTGTTCGATAGATAAAATTGGAGGTCCCTGTTCGATTGCAATTTCATTTTCATTCAAATTAAATTTAAATTTTTTCAATGCTTTGTCGAAAAGTTTCAATTCTTCGTCGTTTTCCAATCGAGTTCTCATATACTCGATAGGTAAAGCACCAAATTTTTTCTTCAAGGTAGTATCCTTAGGAGAGTAGCACAAGTGAATTACTATTTTATCATTTCGAATTACAATATCCCGTACTCCATAACTTAAAAAAAAGGTACAATTTATTTTAAAAGTAATAAAAAAAAAGATTTTAAAACTTACGTAAATAGTTGTTTCATCACAACCACACCCATTTTTAGAGGAAAATTAACTTTATCTTTAATGATAACTATAATTGTTGATGGTGTAGTAGCCATTATTACTTATGTGGTGAAAACTGATTAAAAATGTTTCTAAAACTGAAAATAAATCCCAATCCAATGCTTTATATAGGCTTCCCAAAGTAAATATCCATCACGGAAAGAGCTACCCACTAATAAGGAGGAGAAAGAGCGGGAAAGATTTTCCTCATCTCATATTTCATCCTACCTTATATGTTCATGACTAAAAATATTCAAGCTGTTTTTCACACTACAAACAATATTCATAATAATTAAATTTAAAGACTGAATTTTAAAAGTTAATGAGCTTTAAAATTTATTTTTGAAAAAAAACATGCCTATTTTAAATTTTACAAAGGAAACTCGAAAACCGATATGTTTTATTGTTTATGCATTTTAAGGCACGAGTTGGTTATTCTATCAACGGTTATACTTAGTTTTGATGTTTATGTATCGATGATGCTTGAGCTTGATTAGTATAAAATACGCCTGAACCGTTCGAGTTCATTCATTCCGTTGTTATCGCATTACCTACCATGAATGCTTCAAAAAAACAAAAAATTTCACGTCCGCTTTTAGAAATTAACTATCGCGGTCAAAAAGTTCCTACTCCTCATTTAAAATTACATTACGATATTGAAACTAAAGAAGTGATTGTTCGAATAAAATCAGACATCGGTATTAGTTCTGATGATTCTGCTGATGCTATCGGTACTGTACCTCCCAACACTCCTATTGAAGCTGGAGAAGAAGAAACAAATCCTTTTCTCTCTTTTCCAAATAGAAGAATAATTTCAAACCCAAGAAAACGACTAAGAAGAAACCATTCTCTAATAAACCAAGAAGAAGAAGAAGAAGAAGAAGAAGAAGAAGAAGAAGAAGAAGAAGAAAATGGTGAATACTCAAGAATACATCAACAACAACAACAACAACAGGAAGAATCAACTGGAATAGAAATAACGGAACAAAGACAAGAACAAGAATCACCCAACAATTTAACTAATGTAAGTATAATTGTTGATTCATTTTCCGATCAAGCTTCTAACCATTACGATAACAGATGTTCGAGACCCGACTTAATCGGAGATTGGACTTACATAGAGTTAAAGAGAATTGAATCGTTTTTTCCTAAAATTGATCATTTTGATGTACAGCTTTACGCAAAAAGCGATGCAGTTTCTTGTTTATCAGTGAATCTATTTCAAGAAATTTTAATTCCATTTTTCTCTAATTTATACGAAAAAACAAATTTTACTAGCTGTAATAAGTTTTATGTATTTTGGTGTCATAGAGCCTACCAAGAAGGATTTAAATTTGGAATAATATTATGTTCCGAATGCTATGAATCAACCTTACGAGAAAATGGGGTTATGTGTACAATAATTCAGTATATTAAACCAATTAAAGTATTTACAGTGCATATGCATGATTTAGGACATTATCACTGTTCTTGGTGTTTAAAAGACACTGCCTATCCACAACATTGTGAATTATATAGGTCTCATAAGTTCTGGTCTGCATATGAATTGTGGTACACTAATTAATTAAGATTGCGTAGTTTTTTGTTCTTTTTAAGCTTTCATAATGTCTTCTTATTCTACGTTTGATAGTATGCTAGGTGATGTTTTGAAAAGATTTGAAAAGGCTTGCAGAATTATTAAAACTGAAGATGAATACAAAAAATGGTTGCAAATTTTAAGAAAAATGATATTAATTTTCAATTTAGGTATTAAAAATAAAGCATTATGCATTAAAAAATTTTCCCGTATTGAAGCTGGCTTAGGTCTTTTGAAACATTACCATAGCTATTTGAAAAATAATTATAAAAAAAAATTTGTTAAATCAGAAAAAGTAAAACATGTAGTTTGGGAAAATATTGATTCTTGTTTTAATAATAGAATAAAAACAGGAATAATTTCTAATTTAACTATTAAGGAGCCAAAATTTTTTTTTAAAGAAGCCTATACATTATTCTGTAAAAAAATCAGGATTGAATTGAAACGTTCCTTACTTAAAGTGAATGCAATTTTTTCAGGAAACTTTGTTAAGCCACAAAATCTTGAAACCGACATTAAAACCTTTTCGACAGCAAATAATGTAATTGATCGGAATACAGATTTGTATGATTGGTATGAGTCAAATATCGAAAATAAAATTTTATCAAAATTAGAAGAGTTCCAAGAACGAGATAGTGGATGGGCATTATTTGAAATTATTCATCTCAAAATAAATATTAACCATTATAACCCTATTCGTGGCTCATTATCAACATATGTTGAATTACCAAAATTTATTAAGAAAACAAGAGCTGTCATAAATATAAAAAATAATGATGAATACTGTTTCCTTTGGTCAATAGTATGTGCTTTACATCCAGCAGTATCAAATAGAAGTTCTAGTGTGACTTCATCATATCCACACTTCTCACAAGTAAAAAACCTCAATTATGAAAAATTTAAATTTCCAATGAGTCTGAAAGATATCCCAAAATTTGAAGAAATTAACAAAATGTCAATTAATGTTTACAGTTATATTGAAGAAAAACAAGTAGAAATTTTTCCTGTTTACTTAAGTAAACAAGATTATAATAAAAAAATTCATCTACTATTAGTTCCTTCAAATTACTATTCTGCGAACAACAACGGAAATGAATTCGATACCGATAACGATAACGATAACGATAACGATAGCGGCAATGAAAAGGATATTTTTTTACTTGATATTATGAAAAGAAAAGTATTTCACTTTGCATATATTACAGATTTATCACGTTTAGTTAGTAAACAATTACAAAATTCAAAAAACAGAACATGGTTATGTGATCGATGTTTCAGCAAATTTAAGTCTAATTTTAATTTATCAAAACATATGATAGACTGTAAAGAAATAAATAAAACAAGAGTTTCTTTAACAATTGATGGTGAGAACATTTTAAAATTTAAAAATTTCAAAAATAAAGATAGGCTTCCTTTTGTTCTATATGCAGATCTTGAATGTATACTAGGAAAATATGGTGCTGATACAAACAAACCAAACCTAACAAAAACAAAAAAATATCATAAGCATATTCCTTGTAGTATTGGATATTATTTAAAATGTTCCTATAACAATGCTCTCTCTAAATATAGATCTTACACTGGTGAAAACTGCGTAACATGGTTTGTTCAACAACTTAAAATTTTATCGAAACAATTTTCTGAGATATTTTCAAACACTATACCAATGATTCCTTTAACAGCTGAACAAATCGAAAGCTATAATTCTGCAACACATTGTCACATTTGTTCATTACCTTTCAATGAAAATGAGTTAAAATACCATGATCATTGTCATTTCACAGGTCAGTATAGAGGTCCTGCACATTTTTTATGTAATATTGAATACACTCCAAAAAAGGGCATAGTTCCTATAGTCTTTCATAATTTATCTAATTATGATATTCATTTCCTTATAAGGAGTCTTTCTTCTGAAATTGATGGTAATATTAGTGTAATTCCAATAAATAAAGAGCGGTACCTTTCTCTAACAAAACATGTTAAAAATACTAACATCAAATTCAGATTTATAGATTCTCTCAAATTTATACAATCAAGCCTAGAAAATCTAGCTTTGTGTCTAAATGATCATGACAAGATTATCACCAAAAGCTTTTACAAAGACGATAATGTATTTAAGTTGTTGACTCGTAAAGGAATCTTTCCTTATGAATATCTAGATAGCTGGGAAAAATTGAAAGATACATGTTTACCTAAAATTGAATTATTTTATAGCTCTTTAACTGATAATAATGTATATGAAAACCATTATAATCATGCTTGCAATGTGTGGAACACATTAAAAATTAAGACTATCCAAGAATATTTAGAAATTTATTTAAAAACCGATATACTTTTACTTGCTGATATTTTTGAGTCTTTTAGAAATAAATGCATGACTACCTATAATTTAGATTCTTTACATTACATAACAGCACCGTCTTTAGCTTTTGATGCATTTTTAAAACTCTCAAAAGTTGAGTTGCAATTACATACAGATATCGATATGATAATGTTTATAGAAAAAGGTATCCGCGGTGGAATTTCACAGTGCTCTAACCGATATGGTAAGGCTAATAATAAATACATGGGAAAACAGTATAATAGTAGCGAACCTACTTCGTATCTCATGTATTTTGATATTAATAATCTTTATGGAGCTGCTATGAGTCTACCTTTACCTCAATCTGATTTTCAATGGGTTGATGATTTATATTATGAAAATATTGATATCAAGAATATACCCAACGATAACCCTATAGGCTATATTTTTGAAGTTGATATTATTTATCCTGAAAAACTTTTTAAAACACATAAAGATCTTCCTTTGTGTCCCTCACATTCCATTCCACCAACTTCTAATTCAAAAACTCCTAAATTACTAACCACACTATGGAAAAAGGAACGATATATTATACATTACATTACATCAATTTGAAACAAGCACTTCTGCTCAATTTAGAAATTGGAAAAATACACAGAATATTGAAATTTAAACAATCACCATATTTTAAAAGTTATATCGAACTTAATACAGAGCTTAGAAAACAAAGTACAAACGAATTTGATAAACATTTTTACAAGCAAATGAATAACGCTAATTTTGGTAAAACTATTGAAAATGTACGAAAATATAGGATAGTCAAAATAGTAACTAAATGGTTTGGTAGATTCGGTGCGAACTATTACATATCTCAACCTAATTTTCATAGCCTGACAATTATTGAAAAAAATATGATTTTAATAGAAATGTCGAAATCAAAAATTACCCTCAACAAACCAATTTACTCAGGATTTTCGATTTTGGATATATCTAAAACATTTATCTACAACTTTCATTATAATCACATTAAACTACATTTTGGTGAAAAAGCAAAATTATTGTATACAGACACCGATTCGCTCATTTATCATTTTTTTGATATTGATATTTATGAGCACATCAGAAAAAATATTGAATATTTTGATACCTCAGATTATCTTGAAAATAACCAGTTTGATATTCCTTTAAAAAATAAAAAAGTCTTAGGATTAATGAAGGATGAAAACAAGGGTAGAATAATGACTGAGTTCATTGGTTTAAGATCCAAAATGTATAGTTTTAAAGTATTAAAATATGACTCTTCTTCAGAAGAGGAT